TATATATATATATATATATATATATATATATATATATATATATATATATATATATATATGAAAAAATGATGTGGCGATTCAAATGAAAGGTCTCGAAGAGTATAACATCAAGATGAGCTTATATCTTTAAAAATGTCAATAGTTCACAAGATACAGGGTCATTTCTTAATTATGTGCAATTGCACTTTTTTAACTATTGATGTTTTTAAATATATAAGGTCATCCCGATGTTAGACTCATCAAGAGCTTTCATTTGTGTATCCACATGCATTTTGATATATTTTTCATATATATATATACATATATAATATATAATATATATAAAATATATGAAAAATTCATGTGGGTACTCAAATGAAAGGTCTTGATGTGGGGAACATCAGGATGAGCTTATATGTTTTAAAATGTCAATAGTTCACAAGATACAAGGTCATTTCTTAATTATGTATCTAGAAGTAGAGCATTTTTGATTGCAGCCTAAATACTTATCATAATAAATTCACTATCGGTTAGAATAAGCTAAAAAAAAAAACGATTTATCATATGACTATCCTGAAAACAAAATTTCTCTTATTCTTTTAGTAATATAGATTAATAAATTTATATGATAGCTTTTAATTATTTATAAAAAAATTACAGTGTAGTCATCCGTGTGGAAGAAAAGGTCGGCAAATCCGGCGACTTTTCTGTCATGACAGAACAGGAACACGCGTTGCAAGATCAAACTGTCCTGCAGAATTCAAACCTCAGAGGAAGCGCAAGTGCAATCAGCGCCGATGCGGCCCTCTAACTTGTCTCGAAGCACAACGACGATTGAAATCCACAAAAGACGGGGAATACACTTTACTCATCGGCGGTAAAAATATGTCCATTTATTGCCATGATATGGGAACTAGCGAACCGAGGGAATATCTTACATTACCAGCTGGCGATAGAGAAAATTACGCTGAAATTTATGATAAAAGGTACCTAGTAATTTTTATTATCAATGTTAATTATTTTTACTGCTAATTAAGTTCCTGATCCTGAATCGCTATAATAGATTATATTGATATCACCGAATTTTCTTAGGTTAAACGATCCAAACACTTGTCCTTTTGGAGGTCAGCGAAATGACAGTTGCGATTGTTTTGACAACCGCGGTACCGTTTCAGGAAGAACGATGTTCAAACGAGTGAGGATTGATGTCGCTAAGCTGATTATTATGGGTAAGTATAGACTGGATGTAGTTAATATATTTGTTTTTATAGAAAAACGATTATTAATAGGATTATTAGCAACCTTGCGGTCACTATGTGACTGCCGTGACTTGTGAACTATGAAAAATTTAAATTTTGCTCTATTAAATAATGACTTTTGTTAAATTGCACTGTACTTTCTTAATTATTGACATTCTTTAAGATATAAGCTCATCCCGATGTTACACTCATCACGAGCTTTCATTTGAGTACCCACATGCACTTTGATATATTTTTCATATATACATATATATAATATATATAAATATATGAAAAATTGATGTGGGTACTCAAATGAAAGGTCTCGATGAGTGTAACATCAGAATGAGCTTATATCTTTAAAAATGTCAATAGTTCACAAGATACAGGGTCATTTCTCAATTATGTGTCTAAAAATAGAATATTTTCGAATTCAGCCTAACTATATATCATCATAAATTGACTATCGGTGAGAATGATATGAAACCATGAAAAAACACAGCTCCAGATTAAGACTTTTCCAACAATACCAAATTTAACCATAAAAACTCATTTTATCATACAAATACTCTGGCCACAAAATTTTGTTTATTCTCTTAATAATATAGATAAGGCTCAAAATACTAAAAACCGAATATGAACTATATCAAAAATTAATTGTAATTTGTCTCTATAGGGATTATACGTAGTTATATGTACAATGATATATGTATTTTTGGAAATAAAATAAATAAATATTTTTCAGCTAACGACTACACATTTTCGTGGACAAAGGGAGCCAAGAGGGTGGAGTATGGAAAGGCTGGAGATTGCTATAGTAGGCAAGATTGTCCTCAAGGGAGGTTTAGTATTAATTTAACCGGCACTGCCCTTAAACTAGCCAGAGAGGTAACATGGAAACCAGAAAAGTCACGCGCGCATCTTGCCATTAATAGAATTGTAATTATAACTCTTATACATTTTCATAATTTACAACAAATTAAGATAATTAATTTTTTTTTTTTTTTTTGACAATAATTTTAATTTACAGACGGATCAAAGAATATTAGGCAAATGTGGCGGCTACTGCGGATTCTGCTCCCCCGCAGGGGACATGAAACTCGAAGTCCATCCATCCTAGTTCCTCGAAAAAATATTATTAAAGAAACTAAACGAACACATTAAGGACAATAATAAAATAAAACTAAGTAATTATAATTAATGACCGACTGATCGGCTTGCCAGCGTAACGCAAGTCTGTTTGCCGAAGATCTTAATAACAGTTCCATGTTATTAATATTAATTAAATTAATTTAAATTACCCGTCACCGGATCTTCATTTAGTATTAATAACTTATTAATTTAATGAAATAATTAATAATTAATTAATTAATCGGTTAATTAATTGATTATTGATCCGTCGTAAAACGTATTAATTTTATTTATAATTTCACCGTAAGTCGAGTTCACGATAATACTTTATTAGAAAAAAATGAATCATCAGTACCGAGCTCTCTAATTTTTTACATTTTACATAATAATAAATAATTATTGTTATTTATAAATAATAAATAAATAATTAATGAAATCACTGCCATATATACAAGCGTGCCTTAATTTTACACGCATTAACAAATAAAAATTAGTAAATTTTATTTACACATTAGTAATGGTATTAATAGATAAATAATTTGCGAAAATGTACCTAAATGAATGTAGAACAATTTATAATTAAATTTATTAATTAATATAAATATATTTTTAATTTAAATAATATTAATTTTTATTATTATCATTTTTAAAATGTACACATGCAGTTATGTGGACAGAAAATAATAATGATAATTGCGGAGTTAATAATAATTACAGCGGATGTATGTATGGTATGAACAATTAGTTAAACGTAAACAAAGTTAAAGTTAAAGCTAAAAAAAAAATATGCTTTATCTTTAATGGCAATTTTATTATTTATACTAAAATATGACTAGTTAAATATTTTTCATACTAAATACACAATACCTAAATAAACAATATTTATTGTTGTATAAAACTAAAGTAATATTACGTCCATTAATTCGAAATTTTTAATTCAAGTCTGACTAGTGATTTATTAACAAACTTTTTATTTTTAAATAATATTTAAGCGTACATTTATATCGAGTAATGTATTTTATAAATTATGATTTATTATTATTTCTATTTTTTATTATTATTACTTGTGTTTATAGATGTAAAAGTTAAGATATTGTTCTATATTAGTTATATTATCGTGTATTAATAATGAATGCAATACGTACTATAATAACTAATTATTTCAATTTTTTAATGTAAATGTCATTGTAAAGCATTTTTTTAAATATATTTAATGCAATTAAAAAATATGGAGTTTTTTTTTTATTATTATTATTACCACTAGTAACCTTGCAGTCACTACGTGACTGCCGTGACTTGTAAAATATAAATAAATAAAATTTTGGTTTATTAAATAATGACTTTTGTTAAATTCTACTGTACTTTCTTAAATATTGACGTTTTCAAAGATATAAGCTCATCCTGATGTTACGCTCATCAAGAGCTTTCATTTGAGTACCCACATGCATTTTGATATATTTTTCATATATACAGATATATATAATATATATAAATATATGAAAAATTGATGTGGGTACTTAAATGAAAGCTCTTGATGAGTGTAACATCAGGATGAGCTGATATTTTAAAAAATGTCAGTATTTGACAAGATACAAGGTAACTTCTTAATTATTGATATTTTTAAAGATAAAAGCTCATCCTGATGTTACGCTCATCAAGAGCTTTCATTTGAGTACCCACATGCATTTTGATATATTTTTCATATATACAGATATATATAATATACATATATAAATATATGAAAAAATGATGTGGGTACTTAAATGAAAGGTCTTGATGAGTGTAACATCAGTATGAGCTTATACCTTTTAAAATGTCAATAGTTCACAAGATACAAGGTCATTTCTTAACTATGTATCTAGAGATAGAGCATTTTCGAATGCAGCCTAAATACTTATCATCATAAATTGACTATTGGTGAGAATGATATAAAACCATGAAAAGGCACAACTCCAGGTCAAGACTTTTCCAACGATACCAAATTTAACCATAAAAACCCATTTAGTCGTATAAATACACTGGTCTTGTTTTGTCTCCAAATTTTAATTACAAGAAATTAAATTTTTGGTTGTTGTAAAGAAGATAATTTCTTTTCTATTTATAATAATTGTAAAAAAAGTAATCTATAATTACAAGAATTAATTCTATAGAACAGATGTAGTACCAACTAAGCAAATATCTTGAAAAATATATCTTCTTAATAGCAATAAATCATCTTATAGCCCGCAGCTGAAATTAATAATGATAAAAGATAAAATTCAGGGGATTCCCATATCTTATCTCGAACCGATGAATTTTTATACTATCAAACAAATAAGAACAATAAGTAGTATATATTAATCGCCTGATGAAGTTATTGCTCAGTCTTATTGTTAAAATAAAACGAATTAATTGAAGCTGAAGATGAATTTAATAATATTAATGAGTATTTTTATAAATATTTTATTAGTAACTGAAGGTGCGAATCCTTCAGATGGAATTACCCGTCTTAAAAACAAAGTTAATGAGGCCGTTAATGGCTTAACGCGTTACAGTAATTCACTAGAGTCGAATTTAAAGTACAAATTGAGTAATTTAAAATTAAATCAAATGACTAATGTCAACAATGCTGTTAATCCTGCGATTGATGAAACGCGGGTAAGTTATGTATCTTTTTATTTAAATATTTTTTAATTAAAAAAAAAAAAATTTTCTTTTAAAAAATTATTTTTAAAAAATTGCATTTATAATTTTTTCAAATCTCTGCATATAAATTTTTTTTTGCCATAATTTATCCGTTACAAAAATTCTCAAAATGATTAAACATCTGCTAAATTAATTTACATAAAAAGAAAGCAATAACCACGGCAAAAAATTTTCTTCTAAAAAATTGCATTTATAATTTTTTAAAATTTCTGTATGTCAATTTTTTATTTTGCCATAATTTATTCGTTAAAAAAATTCTTAAAATGATTAAATATCTGCTAAATTAATTTACATAAACAGAAAGCAATAACTGCAGCAAATGCGCAAGGCAAAAATGCAAATAATTGTTTTGAGCCGATGAGATTACGCCTGAGAGATGCGAGTCAAGCTGCATTTAATTCCCTTGATAAATGCGTTAATGATCAAATACTAACATTAAAATCTGTCGAGCAAAATATTGAGACTCATCTTCTTGTAAGTAAACATGCAATTTATAACAAACAATTATTATAAATAATTATTTTATTTATGAAAATTATAAATTTATCTTTCTTCTTTACAGAACGGCAAATTATTACTATCAAAATTAGATTTGATAATGATAAACTGCGCATCAGGAACGCCAATACAGGTCCAAGTGTGTATTGCCCAAAAAATGCCGGAAGCTAATAGTTCAGTGAACAATTACGAGTCTACTGTCAGCCAATTGAAGAATACTGGGGATTCGATATCGAGTTCTGGAATTACTGGCGCAATGCGTTGCTTTCAAACGCCAATGACTACTCTTTACAATAATGTTAGTTCGGCAAAGATAGCTACAAGTACTTGTATAAAAAATGCTTAGACATTATTATTCATTGTATATCAAGAAAATTAATAATAATAAAATGAAAGGGCTCAATATTTTTTACAACCTTAAAAATCTTATCGAGTTTTGTTTTTTCAAGGCTTTTAAAATATAAATGAAAAATATCAATTATTTCATTAAAAATAAGGTAATTATTTACAAGTGGGGTCAACCCATGCCGGGCCATGTTAAATTATTTTTTTTTGATCAATTTTGTTTTTTAATTGTTCGTTTTTTTATGTACTTTTCAAAAAAAAAATATATCAAAACAAGATAAAATAGAAATTTAATCCAAAAACATAAAAACCAATTTTTTTCCAACTTTTACACGGAGAAAATTTTATAGTAGAGTTTATTATCTAGTTATGTTAAAATCTATTAACTGAATTCAATAGTAGTAAATATTATTTAAATAATTATGTAACATTTAGATTGTAGTATTTACCTATCCTGATGGTAACTACTAGTTGCAAACACTCGTGAATATTTGCCTCAATCCGTGGAAGACATGTTTGCATCCCGACTTCGTGTAAGTGAATCAAAACTTTCCCTCTTACACTTTCGAAAAATAAACAGTAACTAACAACAAAAACTATCTCCCTATTAATCTCTGGTACTTCTGCAGCAAGTGTCTTTCTGGCCCGAGGACGAGGAGAACGGGGGTTCTGAACTGACCATGAGTTCCCAGCTGAGAAAAACAAGAAGTATGGACAGTTCCTGCTTGGAACTTCGTCTTGGTCCACCACCGAGCCACCCGCCCTCTTCTTTACACGCCGGAGCGCCCTCTCATCTCTCTTCGGCGCTATCAAGGGCAAGGTCAGAAGCTAATCTCCATGCCTCAAGCTTGTCGCTTGAACCAGGTAATTAATCTTACAGATTTATGCATCAACTAGGTTCTCAACTTCCTCATCCTCATCCTTTTCTTCTCATTTATCACTCTTCCTCCTTCTGTGTACCCGCACATTCAACATTCAACATCCACACAACAGCATAAATCTCTTCGAACACACCCGATACATATCATTCTTACGTCAAGTATTTGGCATCCAACTGGAGCAAATTAATTTCAAATTTATGAGAGATATATTGATACCTACTCAAATTGTTGAAACATGCTTGGAGCGATTGTATGGACATATATACATACATACATACATACATTTATAATAAAAAGTAACGTAAATCCATATGCTATGATAGGGATTGCAAAATATCCGACTAACCGATGCATATTCGATTGCAATTGTACATCGAGTGCCAGATATATAATACACCAGAATCGAATAGTAAACCATTCTTCAAGTGGTATTGCAGACTCGTTAGATTACCAAATTTGTATGTATATAAATATAAATATTAGAGAGTTTCATGAATCAACAATACTTGAAAACAATGTTTTGTGAAAATATTTTCTGGTCAAATATGGATATATCAAACTATATATGAAAATAAAAATATAATTTATTATTTTTCTATTTCTTATTTTTTCTAAAAATGGGTAATTTTCTAGATAATTAGTTGAGTAATTTATTAATCTAATAATCAATGTCAGTTAAGCTCTTTAGAGAACTCAAAAATTTTTTTTATTTCATAATTTATTCATTGATATCATATTTACATAGCAATTGTTAATTACACATTTATAACATACTAGCTGTTACTCGCCCGCTCTGCTGGGCGCTTTATAGAATTGCATTTTTAGATTTAGTCTTGAAATTTGATTAGCATGCACCTTTTTTCATGTAATTATTCTAGCTAATATTCATTGTAACTTTCAATGTGCAATCATTATAACATTTCCGTGTCTTTTTTACAAAAGTGAATAATTATTGATATGAAAAAAAAAATTTGTAATGAGCATTGAAAGTTTCAGTTAAAGAAATTGCAGGTCTCATAAGTGAAGAAATCTGCCAAGTATATAAACACAAGCAATATAATTTAAAAATCTATTTTAAACAGATGACAATCGAATATAATAAATTTAGTAACAATAAAAATTCATTATTTCTAAGTCAAAAAAATATAGCTTCCGGATAGGTAATCACCTATCATATCATATACTAAAACCTTCTCCGAAACACGCTGCATCTTATGGTATAAGTATTATTCCGATCGGTTCAGTAGTTTTCTTAGTATAACCGGACAAAAAAACCGGCTCTCTATTTATTAGTATAGATTAACATCGGTTATTGCGTCATAAATCATCTACCCTAAAGCAAATCATCACATATCTCATGCGTAAAAAATATTGCAATATAAAGTAAAATATTATAATAATATTTATAATAAAGCTTTGAATATTCACGATGATAAACTCCAATACAAGTTTTAGATAACGAAAAAATAATAACTAAATGTCATAATTTCACAACTAGGTAAAATAGATAAGAGGAAAAAACGCTGACTAGCAAGAAGACCTCGACTTGGACTCGCAAACGTTAACTAGCAAATAAAATTATACACAAATACATCGACAACTAGAAAACTTATAAAGGGGAGAGACTAAACGAAAAAATTACACTAGTGTTTCGGCCATTTTATCTACCGTTTCATGCACGAGCAATCATGAAGCGTTTACTGTTGGTATTTTTGGTAATGACATTTGCATTAACCGTTCATGCTCATGGTAAGTATTTTTATTTATAATTATTTAATTAAATTTTTTAATTATTTTACAATAATTATCAGTGATTAAGCGGGATGAAAGCGAAGAAGAAGAAGATAAGGATGACGACGATGGAGAAGAAGAGGAAGGATTGAAGGGGCTGATGCTCAAAAGCAAGACCATGAGCATGAAAGTTCCTCTCGTTGGTGAACTGACAGGAGATACAATTGGAAAACTTATTGACGGATATGAAGCACTTCAATTATTGACTGACGGCGCTGTTGGACGTCTTCTTGGGGGAGCTTTTCCCTGTACCGTTTCTCTGGATTCCTTCGCCTGCACTGGTCACACCGCCGGCAAAGATTTGGCATATATTATTGAAAAACTCTTGAACCCTATTCCGTGGGTGTTCTTCCCTGACTTGGCGAAGAATTTTGTTGTTCTGATGATTCAGGTGTTTGTCGAACCGATGATTGATGTTCTCTTGGGAGGAATAGCTAAACCCGAAGCTATACAGGCTTAATTCGTCCATTCTTATCATTTTATTTATTTTTAATTATAATTGTCATTATAGATTACTATTATTATTATTATAGCTTTTAATTCTAAGTCATTGATGTGTTTTGTAATATTATAATAAATTATAATAATGTAAAATTTTTTTATTTTATATTTTATTGATAATTATAAATCTTTAAATTGTTAGACAATTTTTTTGAGGTATATAAATTAGTTTTTAGTTAAGAAGTTATTATTTGTTATGTCATAAAAAATGACTCATAACGAAGCTGATAACCAATAAGCAAAATTACTATTAAGAATTATTAAAAATAATGCTGAAAAATTATTTAATATAAAATCTTAAGTAGTTTAAAAATTAATTTTGGAAAATTAAAAAATGGTGAATTTTAATTCATTTTTAAGAATGTTAAACTCAAAAAAAGCTCATTTAATTATGAAATATTAATAGAATAAAGAATGTGAAAAAAAATATATGAAATAGCTAAAATAGCACGATAATGCGCAAGCACCTCTAGTGGGATAAATGTACACAATATATATAGATTAGGGTGCGTCAAAATTTAATCTCTAAAAGCAACCTTTTAAAATTGGAATTTTGAGTTCCGTTTTTAGCAGGAGTTAGGTTTGGGCATTTCCTGAGATATTTTGATGTGTCAGGATTTATTTGATATTAACATAATTTTTTAACAGGAGTTTTGTTTAAGCAGTTTTTCTGGAATTTAAAAATTTCAAAATTTGGCCAAACGAAGCTCCTGTTAAAAAATTCAGTGAATATCAAATAAATCGCGACACACCAAAATATATTATTAAATGCCCAAATACAGCCCCTGTTAAAAGCGAAATTCAAAATTCCAATTTTAAAAGGTTACTTTCGAAGATTATTTGTACCACTGAGTTTAACTCTTAAATTTTTAATACTCAATTTTTTATACTCAAATTTATTTTCTTTCTTTTATTTGTCAAAATTGTATTCCAAATTAAGAAAAATAATCAATTCTTAATATCTAATATTTTTGAAACTTAATATCTTCATTAGTCATACGTGTACTTTTATTGTAACTCTTTTTGTATACTTTTGCCATCTGGCTATACTGCCTTGGCATTGAAATTAAATAATAAATAAATTAATTAATTAAATTTTGACGCACCCTGATATAGATATACAGTCTTCTGGTTTTTGTTTTATTTACCTACAATTCTTCCAAAGAATTAAAAAAAAAAAAACAATTTAACTCAAATAATTGATTTTTTCACAAGTTACAGTGTTTCCGGAGTTTCATACATGACGGACAGGAAAATTTTTTGACCTATTTTGATGTTTTATTCCGTTTCTATTGCACTGAATTAATTTTTGAAAAGTGTCAAAATAATCTTCATTAAATTATCTTGACAATAGTATGCAAAATATCTCGATTCCGTGAACTAACAAGACTATGATAATAAAAATAGTTGCCGAAATGAGGCGAAAAAAATTTTTCGATCGTAAAGCATTCTCTGATGCTTCGCATCATGAATCGTGCAATATTACTGGAAGATATTGAAAATAATCAACAAAACGTTGTAAATTTAACTTATGTGTTTATTTAATTGTCCAAATTGTCAATATTTTTATAATAATTCACAATTATAGATGTGAAGAATATTTTTTTTAGTAATTTAAAGAGGGTGTGAAGAAATAAAATCAGGTTAAATAGCAATATTTGAATTTTTTTTTATTAACAGATGAGAACAAATAAATATATAATTCGGATATGCATTATAACAAGAAAAAATTTGAAAAACAATTTTAAATAATATTGAACATATGTGTAACTTGATAAATTCTACGGAAATTTTTAAGCATTTTTCTAAAGTCTTCTGGCAATAAATCAGATTCACCGTATTTTTCAATAAGTGAATCGAGAGACGGCAGAATGTCCGCTTTAGTATAATCCCATCCCTTATTTAACATTTTAACAGCATTACGTTTAGCGGCTTTGCCCACATTTTTCATCATCTGATTCCACATTTCTTCATTGTCAGTTGTTGTTGACCCTGTATTTGATAATAATGCCAATACAACATTCGAACTTTGTGAATTGTTTCGAAATGATGATGGTAGTATTAAACTTCCTATTTTGTTATAAACGGCACGAAATGGTGCCGTTATAAAATTAAATATACGTCTTATTAATCGAAATGGCGCTAATGCAATGTCATAAATAAATGATAATGGTAAATGAACAGTATTTACAGCCGTATTAGCAACTGACCCAACTACTCCACGTTTGCGGCGAGATCTCGGGGCTGCATCATCACCGTCGTCCATTTTCTTAGATTTGTTTCCAAATCCCATAAAATTCATTGTTTTTTCGTACATAGACATTACTGGGCTTAACATCCAATCCGTCAAGTCCAGAATAGGCTTCAAAGTCCAGCCGTATATTTGATCGTAAAACGACTCTTTTTCTGCGGCCTCTTGCTCTGCACCATAGAGGTTTGGTTCATCTGTAAAAAACATACCATTAATCACAATCATTTTCCGTAAATTTCATGCCTTCCTTTACAATAAAAATTTAAATGAAAAATAATAAACACAAAGATAAAAAAAAATATAAAAAATATATTTTAAATATTTTAGATATATTCAAAATATATCTTAAAAAACATAAAAAAAAAATATTTAAAAAAAATATGTATAATAAATATATTTTCAATAACTAACTTTTGGCCGATTTTCATATATATATTTTAGATATATTCAAAATTTATTTTAAATAAAAAAAAATAGCTAAAAATATAAAAAAAAATGAATATAAAAATATATTTAAAATATATAATATATATATGAAAATCGGCCAAAAGTTAGTTATTAAAAATATATTTATGATACATATTTTCTAGATTTTTAATATATTTTTTATGTATTTCGAAATATATTTTTTTTTCATGAGGAAAGAATATAAAAAGTTTAAAAAAGATCACATGCCATCGTAAATATGGACACTGGATGCTTTAGGCTCTACCGGAATCAAGTGCCATTGCGGATCTAAAGAAGACAACAATACCGGCTCGTTGTAAACAACCGGTCCAGCTTCAATGATTACCGCGAGAAGAAATACGACAAATACTTGTAACTTCAACATGGTTGACTGTTTCAAACACTCTAAACTTTTGTTAGAATTTATATAGCGCTTCCCCTTCTATTTACCTTTCTTATCAATTTCCTTGTACTTGTGCTATGAATTTTAACCACTTTAATATTTCTCAACTCAATTTAACCTAAAATATTTAATTCAAATTAAAAATATTGCTTTTATTCTTTTTATTAAAAATATTTTACGTTTTAATAAGAAATATGTTTTGTTAATTATCAATTATCTGCATGTAAAATTCACGGTAAAAAAATAAAACTTTTTAAAAACATTAATTATTATAATTCAATGCCAAATGTCAGTGACGCACGTGTACTATCTACTTCTTGAGTTTTTAATTGTTATAATTTGTATACCCGATAATTTATAATTACTTTGTGTATGCACTTTGTTTATCAGTTTTAATAGCTGCAATAGCAATGCCAATGCTGAATTTTATTATCATAATTTTCTTCTTTTCACATAAATAATATTTAATAAATATCAAAAAAAAAAAAAAACATTTATTTCTTCTTTAAATTTTTAATAAAAAAAATTAAAACTAATTTTTAAATTAAAAAAAAATTATTTCTTCTTAATAAAAACAAGGAAGATAAATTAATAGTAATTTTTATTTAATTATCCATTCTTAATTTATACATAATAAGAAATAAAAGTAAAAAATTCATTAATGTGTTTTGTAATTGTAAAAATAATTTTTTAAAATAATATTAAAATTATTTTTATGATATATATTATTTATTAATTGTAATGAAGATTATTAATAGTTTGTTAACGAGCCATAGGAGCGCCACTGTCGTCAATAACATTAGCATGGTATGGAGTGCAAGAGTACTCCAGCTTTGATAAATTGTAAATAGTACAAGGCAATTGCATATTTTTTGTATGAATTAGTATGCTATTGATAAATTGCAGGGCTACGGAAGTAAACGGCCACAGGTAACTAGTTAAAGAACCGACAACACCCTTGGTTGTTGTTTTTTCCATCACAAGGTCAGGCGGAGCGTCAGCAACCACTGTAAAAATTTTTTTTATTAAAATTCAGAAGAAACTTTGATAATTAATGATAATTATAATTACTTTTAGATTGTACGACGGTAGCAATGATGGTTACTACCAAAACCAGCAGGTATTTTTTACGATTAAACATGGTGAAGACACTTGTTAATTAGCTCAAGTGAACTTACTGTGAGTTACCGGTCTTCTGAAGACACGTCAGTGGTTACTTGTATTTATAGACAAGCTCGATTGCGTTTTACTTGCAATTACAATTGTTGTTAGCTGTTATTGGTATTGGTATTCATCTATTTTCTAGTCCTCGGGCTCGTTATCGCTCGTTGTGTGTTCTTGAAGAAATAATTTTAATGATAAATATTTTCTTTTAACAAATATTTGTTTCACAGTTTATTTATTGGAGTATTATAAATATTTTTGGTAAAAATTATGATACTGCACAATTTTTTTTAGAATGTTGAAGAGACAAATTTATGATGAAGGAAGAAAAGATAAGCAATATATTTTACTTCTTTATTGTTAGATAATTTATTTCCTTCATTTAGATTTTAGTTAATTATAAATAAATATCAGTTTATCTCGACAAGATGTTTGATATTGAAATTATTTTCTCCATAGATCAAATAGCAGTATCACAAGCGGTACAAATTTTTTTTTGTTAATGTTTTGTTGAATTTAATAAATGATTTATTTTATTTTACTTCTGGTATATTTTTTTTAGTAACAAAATAACAATTTTTTTAATAAAAAAATGCCTGGGACAGCAAAAAAGATCCTTACAGAGAATCACCCATATATACATCAAGTTAAAAAATCATTAGCTAATGCAATGTATAAGTTTTCTTACGACTAATTATACAATACTTTGCAATGTAATATAATATCTTAATTTATAATTCAATAGATCTAATCCACTTGTCAAAATTCTTGCTTAATAACTTCTTTTTACATTCAAGAGCTTTTAAATTATTGGGAAGTAGATTGAAATATTTTATTGCCACAAAAAACCCATTTTTAGTATTTAAAGTTTTATTAATTTTTGGTAAAGTTATTTGTCTATTTCGTGTTAATTTGACAATTATTAGTTTTTTAACTTCTTGTTGAGTGAAATCCATCAAAAAGTCACCATTTTTTTTGTCAGGCTTGGGAAAAATTTGGGTGAAAAATTTAGTACAATATAAATTATAGTTTCCCAAGCGACACAAAAATTTTTTTGATAATATTTTGTTGAATTTAAGTTGACAATTATTAATTTTTAACTTCTTGTTAAATAAAATTTACCAAAAATTCATTAGTTTTTTATGGGACGCTTAGTTCAAACACGGACAAAAAGTAAACTGTAATAAATAACAGTCGATTTATAATAAGTAATGATCAACTGCTTAAAATTACCATTTCAAACAGTAAAATCATGATTTTACTATTCACTTTATAATATTTATCATTTAAATGTTACAATTTACTCTTTACATGGAAAAAAATACTATTTTAAACAATAATATTTGCTATGTAAATGTCTAAAATGTTAAATTATAATAATTAAGAATTCAGACTTTGATATTTATCATTTCGTACCTAAAAAATGATGTTATGATATGTAAAAAGTATAAAATAAAGTTAGTAAATTTCTAACACAAGCAACGTCAATATTTACAAAGTAAAATGATAAATTTTAAACGCAACGCTAAAAATCAAACTGTAATTATTGACTTGCTTGGACTGGTAAAATGTATATTTTAAAAGTATAATTTTTACTGTTTCAAATGTTAAATTCTCCGAGTGTGAGACCTTTCCCTTCTCATAGTATAGACTATATATTAAAACGGCAATTTTTACTGTTTGAAACTGTAATTTTTTAAGATGAAAGAGTCGTTATTTACTCTAGTGACAGCTACTAATCACTTATTTTGGATATTAAATTATAAATTGTGGCTTTTATACTTTCTACATTAAGTTCTGTAATATTTATATTTTTGCCACCCCGATGTCCGCTTTACTATTTGAAACTATAAAAATTAACCGGAATCCGAGTGAATATTATAGTTTACTTTTTTCCGTGAAGGATTGAAGAACACATTCAAATTTAATTATTTTCTCATCGGTCTTTGAAACGTGTGTATTAAATTTACAAACTAATTCAGACATTTTAAAGTCAGTAAAATTTTCCAGAAAAATAAGTAATATTTTTTTCTAATTACTTAATTTTCAAAATAATTACTGACATTTTTTTTTCAAATTACTGATTATTGAATTAGTATTTTCTTTTCCTAGTAGTAAAAAAAATTGAATAAAATTTTTTTTTGCCTAACACTGATTAAAAAATTCTGTTACATTGAATTTCAATCATTACTCAAAATTTTAACTTCTTTCAAATTATTATATTTAAAATCTTAAAAAAATGCTGATGAAACACTAAATATTCATAACCATAATCGATTACACTTCTGTATAACATAATACGTAGTAGAAATAGACCACTGCAGCTGTGCAAATAAAAAAAGCACCCCTAAACGAATGTCAATAAAAAAAAGTCGCATAACGTGAGTAGAAATTACTAGAAGAGATAGAATAATCTAAGCTGATCGATCAAGCAATTACGCTCACGATATTTGTTAGGATCGATCGCCAAAGTAATTATATACACAAGTACAATGTAGACACATTTATAGTTATAATCAGTGCAAGAGAAATCCATTAGCAACTATCAGTGTTACATCAAATTGATGCATTAAATGTTACATTAATGTTTAATATTGTATCTGTTTAATACTCGTTGATGCTAATGGCATGTAAACATACAAACTTTTACATAGTAGCTTATTAATTTACTTGATTTGTTTGTTTTCAGAGGGAAAGCTGATAATTGAGTGAGAAAGTATGAAAAACTTGGTGATTTTTTCAGTTTTTTTAATGGTATTAATATTACCAGCGGTCAAAAATGACTTTTTGAACCGTCCAAATCATATTTATGAAAAAATAATTCGGAGTATTCATAGATATTATAATAATACGTGTATTATATTGATACACGCAACTTTAGAACCAGTAGAGTCTAAAGGTATGTAAGTTCATTTCTGATTTTATTTGGTTTTTTAAAAGATCCATTTTTTTAAGAGATTATTCCAATCCTGACATTGAATTAAATTGATGTATTGTAATCCGAGGAGTAATAAAAAAAATAATTTTAGAAATATTATTTTTTAAAAAATAAATATCTTTGAAAAATTTTGTTATCTCGGGTATTGACTAGAATTGATAGACTACGATGGAAACGACAGAGCAGCATTTATTGTTTGTTGACGAGGTTAATACATAAATCTTTTATGGTATGTGTTATTAAATTTGTTAAGAGATTTGAGGTGCTGTTTGTAATAATTAATTATAAAAAATATTTTTTTTTTGTATGTTTCCACAGACGCCTGAAGAAGGAGTAATAAACTCCGAAACGTTGCGTAAAATAAAAATCTTATATTAACTTATTTTATGATCCTTACTCCTCGGATTACAATACATCAATTCAAATCCATTTTTTTTATCATTACTGTAATGGACATAAATTTAAATATATATATATAGAAAATTTAGTAATTATGTAGAAGTGGGGCTCCACTTATTTTAGATAAAATTGAAATAAAATAAAAAATCGAAAAATTGATCTTTTAGAATATTTTTTTTTTTCAAATTGTTCTTCTTCAAAGCGGACTTAAGATAAAAATTTTGAAAATTAAATATTTTGATGTTCTTTTTTTTCCATTTCAAAAATTTTCAAATTATGATATTCTGAATTTTTTTTTTCTAATTTATTCTATTTTTATCGCTCTTGAAGAAAAAAAATATTTCAATAATCGAAAAAAAAAATAGCATCAACACCATTCATTGAAAAATAACTAAAATCGTAAATTTTGAACTTTCACATGAAAAAAAAGCATCAAAATATTTCATTTTCATACTTTTGCACGCCTCATAGCGCGAAGCGCGTGAGGTTGTGCTTTATACTCGACTCATCAAAGTCAAGCAATTTTGTGATCTTTAAATGTCTCTATCACAACCATATTACATTTATACAATAATATAAGTAGATGTACACCGAGAAAACACTTAAATTAAACCATCTTTTAGTTTCTAAAATCATTTCATGTAGCTATTTTGATAAAAAAAACGTTTTAAAAAAAATTTTACGTGGACGTCCGGATGTCACCCCATTTTGGATGTACCAATGATTACTCCCGAACAAATTGATATTTCAAGACCGGACCTTTTTTATTAGTTTAAGAATACGATGAACTGGGTCCGTATTTCATATCAGTAGCCTAGTTTACGTATTTTTTTTTTAATTGAATTTTTATTAAAATTCACTACGATACAACCGTGCAAAGGCAAACGAATTTTTCTTATTTGTCACGTGAAAACTATGGCGCCACTTGATCAAGCTAGATTTTTTTAAACTGCGTTCGCATATGACAAGAAAAAAGGGCGCTGATATTTAAAAAAAAAAAATACTCTGTAAGAAATTACTTAATTGTAATTTTTTTTTTTTTTTAATCAATTACACAATTTATTTTTTCTTAAAAAATGAATGAGCGCTATGAGGCGTGCACTTTTGGATTTTCCAAACTTTTTATCATTTTTATCATTCAACAAATTTATTTATTATTACAACATTGCTCATTTTTTTTTTAAATTAGTTTTTCAAGAGAAAATATCGAGAAGTATACACGTATAGTGTATAATTTCCTTAGTACTAGTTAGATAATAATTATCATTGCTCTAATTTGTTTGGAAAAATAGTTGGGATAGAAGATCATACAAGGTTAAAAAATCTCCTAGTATACCTTAGTACAGCTGGTATCCGTACGGCTATAATGAATATTAAAAAATTTATTACAGAGGTAAACATAAATTCTTTTTTAACAAACTGACACTAAAAATTAATCAAATGTTTGATAAAATTCTTTGTATCAGATTGGCGGCAGTTATTACCACATCAAGAGACCTCTATTTGTTCTCTTAAACGATTCGGATGAATTAAGGGATCAGTTTGCAACTGTAATTATTATTTAATAATTATTAATTTCTACACAGAAAAAAAATAAACTTCTTGAGACAAGAAAATTTCCAGTCAAGAATTTTTTTTTTTCAGTGTATGCTACCCAAAATTTAAAAATTCTTAGCTATACATATCAGTAATTAACGTAATTTTCTTCTCTGTCAGTTGCTAGCCCCGTGGATAGACATGGCGTATCCAACGTGGCTGACATTTTTCAACGACGAAACGTCGATCTACGATTTCTTCCGCGACATTTACGTACCCTTCGACTGTAACTTTATGATATCAAAAAGAAATTTGGAAGTTGATTTTGAAGCAGAAATTATCACAGAAGTCTATCAAATTTACAGAGGACTTGAATTGAGACACGGTGTTTTCGCGACCTGGAATATTGTATCAGGTGCTACGTACACTAAGTACAGTTTGTATCAACGAAGAAGTAATTTACATGGCCATACATTGCGAGTTATATCTCTAGAGGTTATTTTATAATGAAAATTAATTTAGCAGATATTTAATAATTTTTTTAACAAATAAATTATGGCAAAAAAAAAAGAAAAAAAAATTGACTTGTAGAAATTAAAAAAAATGCAATTTTTCGGAAAAAATCTATTTGTTTAAAAAAAAATTTTAAAATGGTTAAATAATTGCTAACTTTAATGTCATTATTTTGAATTTATTAAATTTCTACAAAGTTTTGTCGTATAATAATAAAATTAGCCGACGTTGAACAATTTTTTATTTATTTCATTAATTAAATCACAAGTAAAAAAATACTTAAAAAAAATTGCACACATAATTTTTCAAAACTTCTAAGGTAAAGTACCCAGTACTTGAACACTTCTAAAAATTGGACCAGTAGTTGAATATAGACTTTTAGAATTGCTGTAATACAAAATCTGTGTATATATTATGAGTAATATGCGCATTTTATAATTATTCAATGATACAGTAATTGATTTTGGTAAGTTTTTTCAATTATAAATCAAAAAAATTACATTTTTGTTAACTTTAAAGTTGACATGTCGGGAATAACTGATAGATGCTATTTTTTTCATGAAAAAGGTCCTAAACCGTAAACCGAACAATCATTGAAAAAAAACGGTATATCATCATTGTAAGTGAAAAAAATTGTACCACCCAATGAAATAGTCTTTTCTAAATGGTACATATTTTTTGCAAAGACATAAACTATCATTTTTATATTAAATTTTAGCGTTCAACTATACCTCCCGATTTTCAAAGCAGTACCCAGAACTTGAACAAGCTGGGACCGTATAATTTTAACAGCACTCTAACCTTTAAAAAATTTTTGGTGTGCCTATTGCCATATATTTTATTAGTTCAACTACTGCTCCCGGAGTGTTCAACTACTGCGGCTTGTCGGAATTGATTGTTCAACTACTACTCCTTTCATAGTCTATCTTAAAAACGTTGTCAAATTATAAATATTCAATTATTTGCGTTATTTTGCGCTTCAATCAATTCAAAATTGTTTATATTTTCATGAAAATCACTAATTTGAACTAATAATTACATATTTATATATTAAAAGTAGAGTCAAATACGCTTTACTTTGAAACCTGTTCAACTACTGGGTACTTTACCTCACGAGCGAAATTTCTTCTTTTAAATTTTTTGTAATAATTTTTTCATCAAAAACAATTATTAAAATTTTCAAATGTCGACTAATTTTATTTTCATTTTTTCGTCTGAGTAAATAAACGAAAAATACAAATAAATAAATTTTTTATTAATTTTTACAGGATCCACCATTCTCAGAAATAATTCGTGATAAGAATAACAATGTGATAGGACTAAAAGGATTCTTCGGTGGTATAATGGATTTATTGAAAGAAAGTTTAAATTGCACGTAAGTTTCTCAGTTAAACAAAACCTAACTTTTTTTATCTTCTTTGTTTTCCTTATTATTATTTTTACCATCAATTTTCTTGTTTTTCCTGTCTTTATCATCAAGTTTGTCTAAAATTTCCTGCAATTGACGTTGAGTTTCTTGACGGAAATATTCTTCTTGACTAGCCGATGACTTTTCTTCATAAATATCTTTTTTACTTCCGTCACCCCGACGCCGGCTTACAGAATAACTACATTTTGGATTAATTAATATTTCATTAACTCTTCTTGAATTTTTAAAAATTTTAGCAAACATTTTTTTGACAGCGAATTTTGAAACTTTTATTAATAAGCTGACAATTTCAAATAATACAACTAATATATTTAGGTTAACTTATCAAACATCAAATGAATGGGGCTATTTGTTAGAGAACGGTACTTGGACCGGCGCAATGAGTACATTGATTGATAATAAAACAGATATATTTGCTGCTGAATTATTAATGACAAGAGATAGATTGGATTCATTAAAATTTACTACTCCACTTTATTCAACCAAGTAAGAATAACTGAATCAGTTTTTATATTAGTTAGAAAGAAGATAGTTTTAAATTATGAAGATTAACTCGGTAGATATTTAATAATTTTCGTGACAAATAAACTATGAGAAAAAAAAATTTTAGAAGTTTAGAAATTTAAAAAAAATTGCAACCTTGAAGTCACTATGTGACTGCCTTGACTTCTGAACTATAAATAAATAAAGTTTTGGTTAATTAAATAATTACGTTTGTTAAAATGCACTGTACTTTCTTAAATATTGACGTTTTTAAGATATAAGCTCATCCCGATGATACACTCATCAAAAGCTTTCATTTGAGTACCCACATGCATTTTGATATATTTTTCATATATATACATACATATAAATATATGAAAAATTGATGTGGGTACTCAAATGAAAGGTATCGATGAGTGTAACATCGGGATGAGTTTATATCTTTAAAAATGTCAATAGTTCACAAG